AGAAGAAATAACAAAAATCAGAGCAGAAATTAATGAAATAGAAACAAAGAAAACAATACAAAGAATTAATGAATCTAATAGCTGGTTCTTTGAAAAGCTAAACAAGATAGACAGACCCTTAGCCCAGGTAACCAAAAGAAAGAAAGAGCAAATCTAAATCAACAAAATCAGAGATGAATGGGGAAACATCACAAGAGACACCAGAAAGATACAGAACATTATAAGGGAATACTTTAAAAACCTATATGCTACCAAATTCGAAAACCTAAAAGAAATGGATGCATATCTAAAGGCATGGGAACCACCAAAACTAAACCAAGAAGAGATTAACAGCTTAAACAGACCCATATCACAAAAAAAAATTGAAACAGTAATACTAAACCTCCCCACTAAAAAAAGCCCAGGACCAGATGGGTTTACAGCAGAATTCTATTAGACATTTAAAGATTTCCATTCAATGCTACTTAATTTATTCAAAAAAATAGAAATGAAGGGAAAACTTCTAAATTCCTTCTATGAAGCCAGCATCACTCTCATACCAAAGCCTGGTAAAGATACAACCAAAAAAGAAAACTATAGACCCATATCCTTAATGAACATAGATGCAAAAATTCTCAATAAAATACTTGCAAACCGCATACAGACACACATCAAAAGGATCATCCACCATGATCAAGCTGGCTTTATTCCAGAGATGCAGGGATGGTTCAATATACGTAAGTCAATAAATGTCATAAATCACATAAATGGGATCAACGACAAGAACCACATGGTCATCTCAATAGATGCAGAGACTCTTGCTTCCAACATCCAACGCCAGGAGAGAAGCCAGGGGTCCTGAGCAACTTTAAAAACTCCCTGGTCTCCCGGCTCCTGGCTGATGCCCGCTCAGTGCTGGGAGGCCGCAGTGCCCGAGACACACTGGCTGCCCTCGGGAACTGACCACAGAGATCCTAGAGACGCTTCTGAAGAGGGCTTCCCTGGTGTCTGCAATGGGGCAAGCCCAGGACCCCCTGGCCCGCTTTCTGGATGCTGCTAAGGACTTTGCACAGGAGCTGCTGACCCTGCCCAGCCTGATGGAGCTCCGAGGTCTGCTGCGGAGGCCCAAAGGGATAGCTGGGCCCCTAGAGCTGATGTCAGAAGCCCCGTGCAGTGACAAGGGGCCTAGCAGCCCAGGTGGCCTCTCCCTCAATTGGTATGATGCCAGCCAACTAAGCGACTTCCTGGAGCCTGAGCTGGTGCCTACCCTGCCTGATAGCAGCCTCAGCCCTGCCTGCTCTGAGTTAATGGGAGCACTGGATGACCACCCACTATCACACCAAACTGGAGGAGCCGGAGCATTGACTAGAAGACATCTTTCCTCGATTCGGGATGCCTCAGGTAATAGGGTCAGATAACGGACCGGCCCTCGTCTCCCAGGTAAGTCAGAAAGTGGCCAGGTTGTTGGGAATTGATTGGAAATTACATTGTGCTTACAGACCCCAGAGTTCAGGCCAGGTAGAAAAAATAAATAGAACAATTAAAGAGGCTTTAACTAAATTTTCACTTGCAACTGGCACAAAGGACTGGGTGGAACTCCTACCTATGGCTCTGTATCGCGCCAGGAACACCCCAGGCCCATTTGGGTTAACCCCGTTTGAAATCTTGTATGGGGCGCCCCCTCCCGCTGTGAACTTCCTTAGCCCAGATATTTCAAGTTATGTAGGTTCTGTCTCTCTCCTCGCCCATTTGCGAGCTTTGCAGATGGCACACGAAGAGATTTGGAAACCCCTAGCTGCTGCTTACAAAGATTCCCATAACACTCCTGTTGCACCCCACCCATTTCAGCCCGGTGACTCCGTCTGGGTAAGGCGACACCAGACCCGGAACTTAGAGCCTCGCTGGAAGGGACCCTACACCGTTCTCCTGACGACCCCCACCGCTCTCAAAGTAGACGGAATTGCGGCTTGGGTCCACGCCTCGCACGTCAAGGCAGCGAACCCTGAACATCAAGAGCAGTCCTCCGACGGAAAGAAATGGCGGCTGGCCCGAACAGGAAACCCCCTAAAGCTAAGACTCACTACAATTTGATAATCATAATTCTGTTTTCTCTTATTCCTGCTATCCAGTGTCCCAACCCTCATGCTGTGTACAACATAACCTGGACATTAATTGGTCTCCGAGATAATCAGCCCCTTAATCAGACCTCAAGGGTGGGGACTTTAGGTGCCACCTTCCCAAGCCTAAGCTTCAATCTGTGCAGATTAATCCCTGGGTTTTGCTGTGGGACAAGAGGTCGCTTCCATGGGGTATATGCATGCCCAGGAAATGAGAGAAAAAAAGACCTCATAACCTCGTGCGAAGGGCCAGAGGTAGGATACTGTGCTGTCTGGGGCTGTGAGACCACCGGGACCACTTACTGGAAACCCAGCTCTAGTTGGGATTTGATTAAGCTGACAGATGGAGGGACCAGAGCATGTACAGATACTAACTGGCTGACTATGAGTTTCACAGATCAGGGAAAAAAGGCCGACTGGAGTCACCCAAAGACGTGGGGTGTATATGTTTACCTCCCTGATTGGGGGTGGAAAGATCCTTTCGGTCTAGTCGTAGTAAGGAGAGAATACTCTGTCCTTGTCCCACCTCAGTCGGTCGGACCCAATCCCGTTCTTCCAGATCAACGCCCAGCCTCGGTGCCAAAATCCTCCTTACCTGGTGGTCAAAATCAAACCGATAACAGGCACCAGGGATCTCTAAATCTCACTCCTACCCCACCAGGTACAGGGGACAGGCTCCTAAATCTAATCAAGGGGGCATTCCAGGCGCTTAACCATTCTGATCCTGAAAAGGCTAAGAGCTGCTGGCTGTGTCTAAATCCTCAGCCCCCCTACTATGAGGGCATTGCCATTCGGGGAAATTACTCTAACCAGACTGAAGCCCCCCCC